TGGCAGGGAAGACTGAGGCAAAGATGTTGTTGAGTCCCTCAGCCTTCTCCATGTCTGTCATTATCAGTTCACCCTTCTCATCCATCAGAGGGGGTACACTCTCCTTGGCCTTTCTTTTCTGAGCGACGTATCTACAGAATCTCTTCCTGTTATTGTTTTCATCCCCTGCTAAGCTCGGTTCCATCTGTGCCTTGGCTTTCCTTATCATATCCCTCCACATCTGAAACTGAAACATGTGAGAGGGCCTGGGAAAAGTAGCCCTTGATGCAGAGAAGCCACTTGGGAAACAAAACTTGTAGGTCGGAAGCGTGATTTTGTGGAGGTGCAGAGCTGATGGGCACATTGTGCAGGATGCGCCTAAAGAACTTTGTGTCCTTTTCCCTCCTGACTACAACGCCACATCCTTCTCAGGAATGGAGGAGCCATCAGAGGTGAGACAGATACACTGAGATGGTAAATGTCATCAGAAAGCTGATCACAAGAAGATATGGGGAGGTCAGAAGCAGCCTGAACAAGAGACATGTGAGATTTTGGGGTGGTAAGAGGAGCATGGCCAGCAAAAATTAATGATTTCATAGAGGTAAGAGCATTCATGCAATGCCGATGCTGCAGTAACACCGACTTAAATCAGTAATGTATGTCCCTTACCTTACTGGAAACAGTGATTTTAATCCCTAAACCTAGATGCTACTACAACACTCTGAAAGGAATCAATTTTCTCTCTTGAAAACCATAATCCCTTCATTTAACACCAACATTAAAATGCTCTATTTAACCCTAAACTCCTTGGCAGATGTAAAACACCCATAACCACAGAGCTTGTCCATACCTCAACCACAGATGTGACAGCACAAGCAGAACACCAAACACTCCCACTAAAACTTTGCTTAATCTCTAACACAGAAAGTGAAAAAGAGATACCGAGGGGGCTAGAGAAAGCTCACATTTACCTCAGGATCTCCTGCCCCAGCAGAAGGAATGTGACTGTGGCAGGAACTGTGAGGTCACTTCTGTCTCTGCACTTGATAGGGCAGCAGCAGGAACGTGTCACAGAAAGGGACTGGGAGGTCACTTGTGTCTGGAGGTGGCAGGTCAGCCTTGACTTCTCCCTGGGATCTGCACTTTTGGGCTGACATGTGGCAGTGGCCCTGCTAGGCCAGCAGAAGGCACCTGCTTGGCATGCTGACTGGGGGATCCCCTCTGCCTCCAGAGCCAGGAGGACCCAGGCAGAAAGAAGGCCCCAACATGGGTTGTCCTGTCCCTTCTGCTTGAGTCCATGAGTGGGCAGCAGCAGGCACAAGGCTTGGCTGAGTGTAGCCAAGAAGCTGCAAGGATAGCATCATTCCCCTGGCTTGGAAGCTGCTGGTGAGTATCTATGATCAGACCCTAGCTTCGTTTTTCAAGGAACAGCTGGTGAGGGTTGATGAGACGTTGGTGAAATGATGGAAATGCTGGGATGAGAGCAAGGTGGTGAACAGAGATGGGTGTCTGCAGACTTCCAGGAAATAGGACAAAGTGTGGGACAGCATATTTAAGCGTGCAGAGGAAAAGACAGAGGTTGCTGGTAAAAAGGGAAGGCCCCAACAGACCTGATGCTTTGGCTAGAACTTTTGAGAAAAAGAGATATAGTCATTGCAGTGCAGCCTCTTTGCTTCCCTGCAACCTTGTGCAGAGGCAGGGTGGTGTCATACCAGTTTTCCTCTCGTGGCATCACACTGCCCACCACATTCCTCAGACCCCCAAGAAAAGTCCTGAGGCAGACAGGTAGGTGCAGGATCTCTCCTCGCAGTGGCTGGGGTCAGGCCTTGGGCCTTGTCTTCACCAAAATCAACCAAGACTTTTCTCAGCACAGTGCTTTGCCTGTCTAATCATGGCCTCCAATTATCTGCCCTAACAAGGCCCTGGGGAAGCCTTGTTAGTAACAGCCCTCAGTGGGGCCCATTAAGACTCCAAGTCACTTCAGCTTTTTCTTTTGCATTTGCTTTTTCGCACAGTTGCATCATTCTCCTCTCAGTACCCAAGTTTCATTGACTCAGCACCAAAATACACCATAGACTTCATTAAAACACAGAAACTCCTAATGAGCCATGTCTCTCCCACCATTTTCTTCAAGTCCTCAAGACTTGATCAGCTAATTGGAGAGCTTTCATGTTGTAGTTAAGGGGGAAGATTTCAAGGAGCATCTAATAAAAGTCTTTCTTCATTTTAAAGGCTGAATTTTGTTGTGTTTCAGTTTAGAGCATCATTCTGCTATAGGTATTGGTCTAGGGTTTCTCTTTCGAAACCCTGTTTAGGTGGGAAGAACAGTGTTTTTCCTATTTCAAAACAAACAACAGGAAATCATGCTGCAATTAAAAAAAAAAAAAAAAAAAAAAAAAAAACAAAGAAACAAAAAAAAACACAGTTCAAGTTCCTTATTTTATTGCCTCCAGTGATGTTTACCTTCCAAAAAGGATGACTGTACATGATGTATTTTACAGTGATTTAATTAATTGTGTTAATATTAATCCATATCATACTAATTCAGTGATAAATGATGAGTAGTCTTACTAAGGAAACCATTACAAAGACTGCTGAGAGATGGGCGACCTTGAACTCACTGATACTCCAAGCAGCAACTGGGTCACTGAGAGTGGTCTGAAGGATTAAACGGTAAGAGGAGAGCAAACCAGGAGAATGACGGGAAGTGCATAGGTCCAGACAGGCAGCTGGAAAGGGGACATTCAGCAGGGTCTATGTAATCAAGATGAGTTTTGTGCCTGGATGATGAGGGAGGGAGCACACCACGATAGAAAAGCGATGACAATGCAAGTACAGGTGAACACCAGTATTTCTTCTCCTGGGATGAATATGCAAAAAAAATATGAAAAATCACATTTCTTCATGATAGAAATTACACTTCACATGAGACATTTTACAGAACGGATTAAGTCTTTTGAGCTGATGAGTTGTTGCTTTATTATTCAAGTACTGAAAAAAATACTGGGTATTCCGACAGAGCTTTGCTGCCTGACCATAAGCATAACCAGGGAAAACCTCCAGTGGCCCCGCTGTGTTTGAGGCACTTCCCTGGACCAGCAGATGTCATTAAAGACCTGCAGGAGGCCAGAGCCCTTTGGGAAAATCAGGTGGAGCCAGGTGGAGTTAACAGGGCACCTCCACTGCCAGCAGTGCTCTTTGTCCCTGTAACTGCAGCCCAGTCCAGCACAGGAACACCCCTTCAAAGGCAAAGCTCTCAAACCTCTTCTTCAGTGGGTTCCTTGGATTGACCTAGATTTGAAATGGGCACTGGAAACCTGAGATACTCTCCCTTACTTAAATTAGAAACTTGAACATCTGTTGATGACCTTCCTGGGTCATCTTTAGCAAACTCAGGCTGAAAAACTCAAGTATAGCATGCTTGAAATGGCTGAGACAGGACACATCAGCTTGCCCCACTTTGAAAATAGCCCCCGTCCAAATAACATTTTAAAAGCAACAAATACAGAATGACCCATGAGGTCAATGTGCAGAGTAAGGGAAAGTCACACATATTGTGCTGGAGTAGCAGAAGGCAAAAAGCATTGCATTGTGCCTCAGAATAATCAAGGAGACCTAATCCAGTTCATCCATGAGGAAAAGCAGAGAGAGAAGGACGTTGAGTTTGGCCTAACATGAAGAAGAATGTGCATCACTGGTGAAGGAACCGTCATTTGTGCCATCATCAATGTGAATTACACAAGCACCACCGCACCTAATGGTAACCTGTCTGCCCCGGCTTGGTATTCCCACAGGGCAGTGGAAGGGGAGCCGACAGCCAAGGGACACATTTGGGTGTGGAAGGTGGGGCCCGGCAGAGACAAGGAGTCAAACCCAGGGCCAGGCGGGTGGCAGAGCCCCATGCCCCATGCAGGGGCTGGCTGGGGGTCCCCTCTGCTGCAGCCAGTGCACACAACGTAGCAAGAGGAGGGCTCCCTGCACATCACAGGGCACAGCCTGGCCCCACGGGGGTTCTTCCTGACATCCCTGCAACTCCTGGCAGGCTGCGGTGAGGTGTCCCTCAGCCTTCCCTCCTGTGCTCCCAGGGCACATGGCTGCCTCCTGCCCAGCTCACTGCCCACCATGAACGTCCAACACGGCTACTTCGGAAGTTGGGCCTTGCCCAGGGTCAGTCTCCTGCAGGGATAGAAAATGGCCCTTGTCCTGGTGGCTTTTTATGAACTTCCTCTCAGTACATGCGCTTCTCATCCTTGAACACTTTTTACTGAATACAGAGGCCTAGGGGAGCATTTTGGTACCGACTAATACCAACAAAACATGTCTACTTCATCTCTGTCTGCTGCTATGAGCTGTCTGTGAGACATGGATTTGCTATCAGATCTTTTCCTCTGACAGTCTCAGCAATGCCTGGTGATTGGACAAGACATGGGAATTGCACACAGGAAAACACTTTTACTGTGAGCAATATCAAGAACTGGATCATGTTTCCAATACCAAGCACTTGATCAGGTTTCCCCAAAGTTGGGGAGTCCTCCTCAACTGGAGATACCCCAAACCCAACTGGAAATGGGCCTGGGCTGCCTGGTGTAGGTGTCCATGCGTGTCTAGTGGGGGTGGCTAGATGGGCTTTGGAGGTCCCCTCCAAAGGCTGCAGGGAGGGAGTGCCTGCCAGGGCAGAAAGGGCAGCCCCAAAGGAGGACACCAGGGCTTTCCACCACGTTGCAGCAGGGATCTTCATCCCAAAACCACTGCTGTGCCTGAGAAGAATTTATGAGAAATGAGATCCACAGAAACTGCCTACCTGCTGGTTCCTTTATTTAGTTAGCTACAAAGAGCTTAGAAGCACCTCTACAGGAGATTTTTGGGTAAAAAGAAAAGTTAGAAGAAGACAGAGGAAGAAAAATATCTTAAATTTATAAAATGAAATTATAAATTATTTACAATATTGGTATGATATTGAAAAGGATGAGTAATTTTTGAAATATATGAACAAAGGTGTTTCTGCCTTCTCCAGGTATACTTCAGGGAATCAGATGCAGAAGACCATTTCCTTTTTGAAATACTGAATATTGCAATAACGTCCTCAGTGCCTCCTTGAGCTCCTTATTCCTCATGCTGTAGATGAGGGGGTTCACTGCTGGAGGCAGCACTGAGTACAGAACTGCCACCACGAGATCCAGCGATGGAGAGGAGATGGAAGGGGGCTTCAGGTAGGCAAACATGACAGTGCTAAGAAAGAGGGAGACCACAGCCAGGTGAGGGAGGCACGTGGAAAAGGCTTTGTGACGGCCCTGCTCAGAGGGCATCCTCAGCACTGCCCTGAAGATCTGCACATAGGACACCACAATGAAAACAAAACAACCGAAGGCTAAAGAAATACTAAACACAAGTGCCCCAACTTCCCTGAGGTAGGCATTTGAGCAGGAGAGCTTGAGGATCTGAGGGATTTCACAGAAGAACTGGTCCACAGCATTGCCTCGACAGAGGGGAAGGGAAAATGTAGTGGTAGTCTGCAGGACAGCATTGAGAAAGCCACTGCCCCAGGCAGCTGCTGCCATCTGGGCACAAGCTCTGCTGCCCAGGAGGCTCCCGTAGTGCAGGGGCTTGCAGATGGCAACGTAGCGGTCATAGGCCATGACGGTGAGAAGGGAATACTCTGATCCAAACAAGAAAGCAAAGAGAAAGAGTTGGGCAGCACATCCTTGATAGGAGATGGCCCTGGTGTCCCAGAGGGCATTGGCCATGGCTTTGGGCAGAGTGGTGGAGATGCAGCCCAGGTCGAGAAGGGCGAGGTTGAGGAGGAAGAAGTACATGGGGGTGTGGAGGTGGTGGTCACAGGCTACGGCGCTGAGGATGAGGCCGTTGCCCAGGAGGGCAGCCAGGTAGATGCCCAGGAAGAGCGTGAAGTGCAGGAGCTGCAGCTCGCGCGTGTCTGCGAATGCCAGCAGGAGGAACTCAGTGATGGTGCTGCTGTTGGGCATTTGCCTGTTTTGTGTATGTTGTCCTGCTAAGGGAACAGAAATAGAGTGAAAATATATCAGGATTATCTGAGAAAAAACATTTCCATTTTTCAATTAAACCTCTCAAAGCATTTTCCGAACTGCACTTAGACAGTTGGCAGATCCCTTTCCTTCATTGGTTTCAGTTGTTCTCTCCAGTACAATCCAGACAATTCATCGTCATGAAACCTGCCTCCCCTCCATACTAGAAGCACAGAATCCAAGAAAGTCTTCTGTTTCAGATAAACCAAGCCTCGATCTTCCTGTTAAAATGCCCCCTCAAAAATACTATTCCGTAAAACATCTTCTATGCCACATTACAGGTAGAATAAGACCCATCCTGACAGATGCTATCAGCCATTGGATGTGCCAGCTGTAGAAGACCCCTCTGGCAACCCCACCTGCATGGCCCTGCTGCCAGAGTCTCATGGTACCAAGAGCCTGCAGATGTGTCCTGCCACACGCTGCCCTCTGTTGTTGCGCTCCTCAGTGCCTCCAAGCCCTCTCTCCTTCTCTCCTCTCTGCGTGCCAGCTGCGGTCAGAGCCCCCAGCCCTGCTGCGCTGTGCAGAGGAGCTGCTCCGGGGCACAGCTGTCTCTCTGCAGCGCTTGCCAGGAGCTCCCCTTGGACCCAGGAGCCCGGCCCAGCTCAGCAGCACAGCACCCGACCATGGCATCGCTTGCTCTGTGCCCTTGGGCTCCCTGGAGGTGTCCCCAAGGCCTCAGGGTTGACAGCTCCCCAAGGCAGCAGGGTCTCTGCTGGAGTGTGCTCATTGAGGCAGACTGAACTGATCATCTACTGCTCCTCTCTGAACACAAGATTTTTAGAAGTGTGATTTGCGCTGTTGGAATGTGATTGTCAAACATGATGTGCTTTAACCTGCCAGGCAGCTCAGCACCACACAGCTGTTAGCTCACACCATCCCCCCCAAATTCTTATAGGTTGAGGTCAGCGCAGTTGAAAGGACTGAAATGGTAGAGAAAGAATTATAATAGCAATTATTTTTAGTACTATTATTGTTATGTAGAAAGCAAGCTATGCACAGTGCAATTGCTCATTACTGACTGGTGTCCAGCCTGTCCCCAACTGGTAGAACATTGTGGTAACCATCTGCACCTGCTCTTCTTTGACCTTCATCAAGTCCACAAATGGAAGGGTCCTCCCAGGGACTGGGAAAGGTAGACAGTTCTTTAACATCCTTTCTCTTGAAGACAGCTATCCCAAAACCCCACCTGTACCCTTTTGGATCTTGGAAGTGCCCTCTCGTGGGGAAGTTTATGTCAAGGTTTCATAGATCAACATTCTTCTCCCTCCTTTCTTTTCTGGACAGTAGTTCTCTTCCATTCTCAGGGGCCTGATTTTCACACCCTCTGTTTTCTTCTGCATATAGAGGGAACGGATCCTGGCACAGGTTGGTGCTCTGGCCTAGCAAGAGCAGAACCAGGGGTCTGGTCTAGTCTGGGGCCTGTCACAGTGGCTGGAGTGGCTGCGGGACATGTCAGAGGTGTTGGAGTAGCTGCAGGGCCTGTCCCAGGGCTTGGAGTGGCACTGACTGAGGCTCCCTTTGGAATTCCCTTTTGAATTGCCAAGGTGATAACCCCTCCTTTTCAAGCACTTCTGCAGTTTTTAAGGATTCTGCACGTGCTCAGGGGGAAGTTCCAAAGCACTGGAAGTGCCCACTGCTCTAGGTGCCTGCCTAGATCCTCTCATGCTCCCTGCCACTCCTAACTCTCCGGCCTTGGGGCAGGTCTCTGGAGGGCATTCTTCAAGAGTTATTTATCCTTAAACAACAGTTGAACCATATTCAGGAGACGTCACAGTAGGATCATCCCATGGATATTCTAAGCTTTGTAGAGCTAGTGTAATAAGGCTGGAGGAGAAGGGGAGGTGAAAAAGTGGAAGTGTCCCTCCCTTTTCCTCTCCTAGATTGGCTCCCTAAAACAAAAAGTTTAAGCGTGTAATTCTTAAGTTTCTGAGTAACGGTTCCTGAGGAATGGACGTGATGGCAATGCTCAGTACAAAGAACAGATTTGTCACATGACCAATAATTTTATAGACTCATAAGGTAGTGTTACACAACATAGCAAAATATCTTTAAACCAGCCCCCAAAATGATAAACAGCACAATGGGAATACAGGCAGTAAGTAATGTGCTATACAACTCATTTCTGAATGAAAGCCCAACAGACCTGAGATCCAAAATGTCGACCTTGTGATCAGCAACTATTAAACTGGTCTAATGCTTATAACAATTTAACTTTAGCACTCTGTGGTAAGATCTGTCATTATCTCAACCCTTCGTGCCCCACACTGAGCACCAAAAAGACTTGTGGTTTAATGCGGCAGTTTGACTACTTCGAATTATATGAAGAGGTCCAGAGAAGAGCCACAAAGGCGATCAAGGGGCTGGAGCACTTCTGCTATGAAGGCACGCTGAGAGAACTGGCACTACTCAGCAGCGGAGAAACCTTAGAGCAACCTTCCAGTGCTTAGAGAGGACTTACAGGAAAGCTGGGGAGACAGTCTTTGTCTAGGAGTGGAGTGATAGGACAAGGAGTAATGACTTCAAACTAGAAGAGGGCAGGTTTAAATTAGGTATGTGGAAGAAATTCTTTCCTCTGAGGATGATGAGGCACTGGAACAGGTTTCCTGGAAAAGCTGTGAATGTCCCATCCCTGGAAGTGTTCAAGGAGAGGTTGAAATGAGTTTTGAGCAAGCAGGTCTAGCAGGAGGATGGTTGGAATAAGAGGATCTTTAAGATCTCTTCCAACCCAAACCATTCTACATGTATGATTCTATGATCCCATGTTTCTATGATTATCTGTGACACTGCTACCGTTGCCCTTGTGAAGCCCGTAAAGGCTCTCCTCAGAGATTTTAACCAAGATTTTTGGATAGTCCGGCTGACATCCTGATACACGTGGTGTCCCCCAGGGGTCGGTACTGGGACCTATCTTGTTTAATGTCTTTATTGATGACCTAGATGAGGAGATTGAGTGTACCCTCACTAAATCTGCAGATGACATCAAGTTGGGAGGTAGTGACAATACACATGAGGGAAGGGTGGCCTTTCGGAGGGATCTGGATAGGCTGGATTTCTGGGTTGAGGTGAATGGGATGAGGTTCAACAAGGCCAAGTTCAGGGTCCTGCACTTTGGCCACAATAACTCCATGCAATGCTATAGGCTTGGGGCAGAGTGGCTAGAAGACTGTGAAGAGGAAAAGGACCTGGGAATGTTGATGGATGCTCGGCTGAACATGAGCCAGCCATGTTCCCAGGTGGCCAAGAAGGCCAAGGGCATCCTGGCCTGTATTAGAAATAGTGCAGCCAGCAGGAGCAGGGAGGTGATCGTCCTCCTGTACTCGGCTCTGGTGAGGCCACACCTCGAGCACTGTGTTCAGTTTTGGGCCCCTCATTACAAGAAGGACATTTAGGCCCTGGAACATGTCCAGAGAAGGGTAACCAAACTGTTGAGGGTTCTGGAGCACAGGTCTTATGAGGAGTGGCTGAGGGAACTGAGATTATTTACTCTGGCGAAGAGGAAGCTCAGGGGAGACCTCATTGCACTCTACAACTTCCTGAAGAGAGGTTGTGATGAGGTGGGGGTCAGCCTCTTCTCTCAGATAACTAATGATAGGACTTGAGGAAATGGCCACAAGTCGTGCCTGGTGATGTTTAGATTAGATATTACAAAAAAAATTTCTCTCAAAGAGTAGTCGGGAACTGGAATGGTCTGCTCAGGGAGGTGGTGGAGTCACTGACCCTCAGTGTTCAAGAAGCACCAGGACAAAGTGCTAGGAGATATGGCTTAGTAGCTTAGTGGGTATTATTAGTGATAGGAAGGTTGGACTAAATGGTCTTGTAGGTCCTTTCCAAATTTGTGTTTCTATGATTTCTATGATTTCTATGATTTCTATGACTCTATCATTGGACAAGGAGAATGGTTTTAAACTGGGTAGATTTAGATTCGATAGTCAGATGAAATTCTTGACTTGGAGGTGAGGCACTGGAACTGGTGTTGTGGGTCCAGAGGTCACCCAGAGGGAGTTTGGATCAGCCCATGCCCTTGTGTTTGAAGGAACAGCTGGTGAGAGTGGAAAGGCAGCAGTGAAATCATGGGAACAGCAGAGTGAGAGCAAGGTGGGGAAGAGAAGTGGTTGTCTGCAGCCTTCAGGGAAGTGTGAGACAGCACAGGAAAGCATGCAGAGGAGAAGGCAGAGGGCTCTGACAAGAATGGAAAGCTGCGGCACACTGACATCTTTGTCCCCTTGGCCATGGCTTATAAGGAGACGTCTTTTACTCATGGCATTGGGGCCATGTATTCTCCTTTCAACCCTTCACAAACACTGGAAGGTGTCATACCAATGTCCTTCACATGATATTATGGGCATTGCCCCCTACCCCACAGACCCCAGGAAGAGTGAGACATGGTGGTGCTGGGGTTGCAGGATCTCCCCTCCAGTGGCTAGGGTCAGGCATTCACCTTCTGATTCACCAAAACAAACTAAGATTTCTCAGCACAGTGCCTTTGCCTGTCTGTAGTCATGGCTTCCAATTATCTGCCCAAACAATTCCCATGGGAGGCTTTCATAGTAACAGACTAGAAT